TAAAATAAAAAATTAAAATTTTTAAATTTATCAAAGTAAAGACTAAAAAGTAAATTTTTAACCCTTCTGTTATAGCCGTGACTGCCAACCAAATCAACTAATAACTCCAAATTCTGAGTAGGCCAGGCCGGAAAGAAATGAATTGCATCCAGATGGAAACTCAATTCTGCATGCAGGACTTTTGCAGAGACAAATTGGTACGCCAATCGGCAGGGGGTGGGACCTCCTACACGGGCAGAGGTAGCAGCTCAACTTTTACTTTTGCTCTTCGCTACCATCAATTGTTTGCAGTACATATACTTTTAAAACCAAGGCTGGACAAAGGAGAATGATTGGTTGAGGTTTCTTTTGAAAAAAATATTTGAAAAAAGTCGACAAAAAATCAGCTTCACTTGACCTATAAAATTAAAATTTTTATATTAAAGTTGAAATAAAATATAATTAATTATAATAAAAATGTGAGTAATTATATTAATTTAATATAAATAATTATATTGAAATTTTTTAAAGAAATTTTTTATTAAGATTTTTTAAATAATTATTTTGGTGCCCATCAACTGATTGTTGAAATGCTCTATAGGTATTCTAAGTCAAATTTGCACATGAAATTTCATATTAGTTTTACGTAATCTTTTTGTTATTCTGTTTAGTATTTACCCTTTCTTTGTTTTTTGAGTATTTACCCTTTCTTTGTTTTTTGAGGATGCCTCACTTATGATCCCTACGCTCCGGCTTACTTGCTACAGTCACTAGTTACATATTCAACTCCGTGACATCCCTTTTCCTATTTTTCGGGTACCACTAATACATACTAATTGTCCTTTTTAAAAAAAAAAATTACACCTCATTTATCTGTCATTCTAGTGTTCCCACTAGAACCATTAGTGCAGGCCAACGACTCTGAAGAGCCACCCTCGAAAAAAGCTTGCTGTAGTGCAATAATGCAAAGTCATGAATTGATTGTTGTCTGTTCCAGCATGTGATTGTGGACCAACAGCTCCAAATTCTAATGAGATCGGACGGAAAAGAAATAAGTGCATCGGAATTGAAACTCAATGCCAAAGCAGTACTAGAATGTATAGCTTTGTTGAACACGAGGTGCTCAGCTTTTACTTTTTCCTCTTTAGAGTGCCCATCAACTATATGGTGTATAGATATTGACTATAAATCAAATCTGGATGAAAAATGGTAGGTCGATTTTACCTTATTCTTCACTTTAGTCATTTTTTTCATTATTTATGTATTGATTCTTTAATCTTGTGTTTACTTGATTAAACTCTGCTAGTTGTTATTAATACTAAATTGAAATCTTCATATTGGACTTTTTGTTTATTCTTTAGATAACAAAATGCATATTAATAGTTGGGTGAAGGATTATTTGCAAAAGAAGATTAGTTATTGGCTGCCATAATTTTTCAGGGAATAAGTAAATTCGAAGAGGATGATCAGGGATTTAGGAAGTGGCACTAGTACATCAAGGAGAAAGGGGGAATTTTTGTGGCTGGATAACTTTGAATTTACTTTCAAAGGCTAAATTCAATTGATTTTGGCTTTGGGAAGATGGGGAACCAAATGTGCAAAGCAGCAAGTAAGCCTGAGCAATCGAAAAGCCAAGATAAGAGAATTTACTGCTTATTTGATTAGTGTTAGTGGTTATATTTTGATCAAATTACAAAAATAAGTTAGTATTGATAACTTCCTAGAAGTAGTTAAATTTTGATGCCGAATTTTCTTTTTACATTAGCATAGAATCAAAAAATGCACGTAAAAAAATTTCCTTAAAAATGAAAGTGATAAATTTTTTTTCTTTCATGTATTAATTTAGTAGGAAATTCTTAACAATTAGATTTAGTTATTCTTAATTTAGTAAATAAGTTTATCAAATTTAGTTTATTTTTATAAGTTAATTAATTAAGGATTCATTTAAGAGTGTTGTGATGGATTGTAGTATAACATTGGTTTTTTTTTTTTTTATCATTTTAAAAATATATAAAATATTAATTAAAACTGATAAAA